ATCTGTAGCATGGTAGTTCTACTACGTACCCAGCCGCCCCCTACTATTGCCATACTACTATTACCTGTCACTGCCCTCTCTCAGTACCCCTCCCTAGCTACTCCTGCCCCTCCACTCCTCTATCCCCGAGCGTCCCCACCACCACCACCACCACCCCCGCCGCCCCCAACACGGGTATGTACAACATTTTAGGCTCTGGCCATGATCGTGACATCTGATCGAAGCACCACCTACCCACTATATATCTACACCCACTAGGTTATTTTTGGGACGCTGCATCGGTGGTAGAGGTGAGATATTTCAGCCTTGTAGATTCGATCCCGGGTTGGATGCACACGAGGTTTGGAGATGGGGATGGTTCTTCGATCTTGGGTTTTTTTTTTGTATGGGTTGTTGGCAGTTTTTGCTTGTGGGTGGGTGTTTTTGGTTTGGGGGGGGGGGGTAGGAAAAAGTGCACGTCAGTCAGGCACAGAGTAGAGTGGCATGTAGAGTGGAATAGTAAGTAGTAAGTGAGTAAAGTAAGTATTCAGTATGTAACACATCCCCCAATCCCCCCTCTCCTCTCTCCCCACTCCATCCACCGCTACAGAACTACTAACAACAAAATCCCCAGATACAGATATAGATCCAGCCATCCAACAGCCACGAGAAGAGAAATAGGATATACGTCGGAAAATACAAGACTTAATAGTACTAATAAGGGTAAGGGGGGGGTAGTAAATAAAATAAAAAAAGCCCAACACAGATAAACGCAAAGACAAATAGAAGGTGATAATAAAAGCGAATGGAGAAAAGACGGGTTTCCAGAAAGACTAGCTTTTGCGCCTAGGGGAATAAAGGAATAAAATAAAAAAGAGAAACAAAAACAGGAAATATTCCCCCAAAATAAGATAGAAATAAGATAAAACAAAAACCCAAACACCGTGTTCATAGTCGCGTTACAGTCGTCAAGGTATAAACGCATTTCCCACCCGCTGCCCCCTTTCCAAAAAACAAAATCAGAAGCAGAAACAGAAACCCAAGATCCAAAATCCAAAATCCAGACCAAATTAGAGAATAAACAAAAGGAACCACAAGCGAGTGCAAGGAAATCACTCCTTCTTTTTTTGCATCTCCCCTCCAATCTTCACCTTACTTTTTTAGTATGGAGTACCCCCAACAGCCGGCAGCCTCAACTCATTAATAACCGTCTCAAACGCCTTCGCATCACCGGGCACCATAAACCTCAACTCAAAGTTTTTCCACGTATTCGTGTCAAAGTAGTCTGTAAACGCAAACTGCCTCATCGTGCGGAGCACAATCTTGTTCGAGCGCGAGCAATGCATCCACTCGGGCTGTCCAATGTAGTCCGTGATGAACGCGGTCCAGACGGTGCTGTCGGTGAACTCGCCCTCGACGTTGGCGGACGCGAGGCGGACGACGCCCGAGTCGCGGTCCTGGAGGACGCGCAGGAGGTGCGGGTAGCCGGCGTCGTCGACCTCGGCGGAGAAGAGGAGCTCTTCGCCGTCGAGCCAGTATTCGGACTTTTTGGGGCTTGGTGCGTTGGGTCCGTTGAAGCGCAGGGCAAGGAAGGTGTGGTAGAAGAGAACCATGTCTGCCAAGAGCTTTTTGTTAGTGAAATGATCGGTTGGACAGGTTGGTTTGGTTTGTGGGGTAGGGGAATGCTTACTCTCAATGTCGGTGAAGTAGAGACAGGCCCACATGATTCCGCGTCTCTTGAGGTGGAGGCTGCTGCCTGCTCGGCTGACGGTGAGGAGGCTGGCGTCGATGAAGGTTTGGAACTTGTTCGGTGCGGAGCGCTGGTTGAAGTAGTCGCCTGCACCGACGCCGAATTGCGGGCCGATGGTGCATACTACTTTAGCTGCATCGCTACTTTCGTCGCGATAGAGACGGAGGGTGAGGTCGTTATCAAATTCACTGTAATGATGGCAACGTTAGCAAAAATGCATAGAGCAGAAAATAGGTAGAGAAATAAAACATACACTTTGATAATCTCAATCTCCTCCCTCGCCATATTCAACGAGTCCATAGGCATCCCAAAGCATTGCGAACCCTCAACATTCCTACGCCACAATAACGAATTAACACTCAAATCCTTCACGACGATCTTCGAACCGCGCGGTACGGGAGATTTGTACCTTGATCCAGAGCTGCTACCACCACTGCTACCGCCGCTGCTTACTGGACTGACGTTTCCAGGGGCTGGCACGTCGGAGATACCGTTCCACCAGCTTGGTTTGGATCCGGGCACGGCAGCAAGGGCACTACCAAGACCACCGCTCCCCCTCGACCTTCCGGCAGGAGACGACATTGGTGATGGTGCTGGTGGCGGTGCATACCTACTGGGAGGCGTCATTGGTGTCTCAGGTGACATAGGCCTCGACCCATGAACGGACCCATGGGGAGACCCATGAGAAGATCCGTGGACGGATCCGTGGGTAGATCCGTGGGAAGATCCATGCGGAGATGACATATGGTGATACCTAAGCGGCTCCATCGGTGGTGTGGGTGGGAACGAAGTCGTCAATCCAACACCTGGGGTGAAACTCCTCCTCTGTGGCTCCATGGGTGGTGTCGGTGGGAATGTTCCAGGAGGAACATAGGTCCGGCGTTGTTGTTGAGGTGCATCATAGGGAGGTGAAGGGACTGGTGCCGGGTATCTGTAGACATATGTCTTCTCCTCTGGGAAGCGTCTTTGATGGTCCTCCATGTCACGGACTTGTCTGGCGGCACGCTCGTGGCTCTCGCCATGGTACTTCATTTTCTCCTTCGTGCGGTGTGTCTCGGTCCGACCAGCACCGGTTTTACTAGAAGGGCTTAAAGGTTAGCAATGCCGATACCATCGCCAAGACTGAGTGAGACAAAACGACGATCCAATCCCGCAAGCCTCCCGAAACAACCGAGTTGAAACGCGGGGTAGCAGATCAATTGGCTACTAAAAAAAAAAAAAAAAAAAAAAAAAAGAGATGGGTGAAATAATTACAATTGAAGAATGCCCTTCAACTGCAACAAGAACGTCCTGTGAACCCCCAATCTTCCAACAAGAGCATATCCATCTGCTTTATGAAAGCTCGCCTGTATTTCGTGCCATGCCCTTCTTGCACTCGCTACTCGTCTCCCAGACGTGTATCGTGCCACAATAACATCCAATTCCCTCAAGCTCCTGGAGCAGCTTCCAATACCCAGTTCAATGTCGTCCAGCAACTCTCGCGATGAGCGATTGAACCGAGGGTCTTGAAATGCTAAATCTAGATCCCTCAATATGGCCTTGATGTCAAGTAGACAGTTAAAAACACCACGAATATCACGCGAAGAGTCCTCTGGAAGGTCTTCAGCGTAGCGGTGAAGGGATTCTGCGATGGTCCCTGCAATGGTTGAGGTGGTGATAACACCGAATATAGCCGACCTGTCAGCCATCGGAACAAGCGAGATCCTTTTTCTTTATTGAATGTATCTTCTTTTTTTTGTTAAGAAAATATATTTTTGGATATTTTTTTTGGTGGTCAAATTGGTTGCTTTGGATGGGTCGAGGGTTGATCTTTAAAGCTTGCTGGCCATGGAGCAATTTCGGAACACACACACGAAAACGAAGGAAAGAAAAAAGTCGAAATCTCAACACCGAACGAGCTGTTTTTAGACCCTCCGTGTGAAGGGTGCGGACCGACCAGATAATGTAATATCTCTCGAGGCGGGCTGACAGCCTAGCTGCCCTTCGAAAGAGGGGATGTTACCATGCGGCTCCAGGTCAAGTCAAGGTGGGCTCTGACGTGTCTGGCAGAGTACGAGGAGAATGTGGTTATCAATGCATCACCACTTTAGCGTAATACTCCCCGCTGGTTCTGAACTGTCTTTTCCATAGAGCCTGCTGCAGAGATGTAAACGTCTGGTTGTGACTGGCTCTCAATGATGGACAAAAAAAGTTACTGTACCCTTCACCAATTGGATTCGAGGTGCACCCTCCCTGCTCTGACCACTCAATTCGCCCTACCAGAATCATGCCCAAACCAAGGCACGCACAAGCCTTAGACCGGAGATGTGGGGGAGAACTTTCGGCGAGCGGAGCTCCAGTTTCATGCAGAAGCAAGCAGCAGCAAGCAGAAGCAAGCATCAGCATCCATAAAAAAACCCGCGAGGTGCGCCGCTCGCTAGCGATCCCACTGACCAACAGTAAGCGAAATCGTAGTCCCAACTTTGCAACCGTCCCCCTTCGTATGGTAGAGTATATATCTGACCCTGCGGCCGTTTGTTGACGAAATTGATTCTGATAGGACCACGCTGTTGCTGCATCATCGATTGAGTACTTTCAGCATTCGTTGGTTTACTTGGGTGCCTTCTTACCCCACCCAGATAACCCACCTTTCTCCACCGCCTTCTAACCTCCACCAGCATAGAAGGCTCTCGTGAAACCGGTCAGCAACAAGATATATCGCTCTTTCCCAAGATCACAAGAAATTCCTGCGCATATCCGCAATGATCTCCTTCCGATCGAGCGATCATGTTCCCTGACCTAAAAAAACTTCCGAGAATTGAAACTGTACTCTCTCTATCTCTCTCTCTCCCGGCCCTCAATTCCATCCAGCCACAGCAGAGAAACCAGGCAAATCGGTTTCTTCTCCCGGGATTTGGATCTGCGGCGCGGAAAGGACGGGTTTCTCTGAGGGAGAAAAAAAAAGGAAAAATCATCTTTCTTGGTAACATGACTTGAGTAATAGTCCAACAGGCTCAACAATATTCCAGTCGGCGAATGATGGCGTATGTATTTTTTTCTCTTTGTTATGCAGGAACCCTATGAACATAGACAACCAGAAGAGTACAAAACCAGGGAAAACAAAGTACAAATGCTTGACCCTATCCCATCGTTAGAGAGACGAACATCCAACATCAAGGTAAAACCCAATTCGCGTGGGAAAGCGAGGTGTAGGGAAAAAACAAAGGAATGGGAGAAACAACCCAGAAAAAACGTACCATCACATGCAGCCCACCTAGGGTGGGGTTTTCTGTCAACGGCTGCAGGGTTGTGGCGGATCGTGGGATAGCACGCAAGTCCCAGTCTGCAATGTGTTTCCAATCCACGATCTCTGTGAGAACGCCGCCACAGAGAAAATCAAAACCACCAAACACGAATGCAAACGTGGTGCCCCTGGCGGCGCCGCCCCGGCGGAGAAGAGTAGGCAAAGACAGGCACCTACCTTCCGGTGCACCGTGCCCGGCATGAGTATAATAACCGGCACCAGTCTCTGCTCGAGGACTAAGTCCGAACCATCGTCATAGGCAGCTAGCACAGTGACCTGCCTGCACATTAAGGGCATGTAGGTAAGCAATATAGAATAACAGCACCTTACGGGTATTCCAAAAAAGAAATCGATGATTTCCCAAGGGCTTAATCCTCGATTCGTTCTCCCCTAACTTGAGATTCCGATGACGGGCTGCCCGCCACGAATCCCATCAGTGAAGAACCACCCCACCCACCCCCCACCTATCTCCAGCAAGTCATCAAGCGGCCATCCGGCGGTCCATCAGAGCATCAGTAAGCCATCAGAAGGAAACGTTTTTAACCAATATATGGCGGGGTAGACATCTTCTATATCGCATGGCAGGTATCGCAGAAATGACGGACCGGAAGAATCGCTTCTGCTATACCCAAATTGTCAGCATCTGTACCTGTGCATAGGGTAGAGTACCTTGCCTGCCTACCTGCCTACAGGTAGAGTAGAACAGCGGAAACCGCGCCATCGTAATAAACCTATTTCCTCCCTCTCCCCTCTCTTTTTTCCCTCCCCACCATAAACGAACGAAAGGAAGAAGAGTGAGAGAGGGAAGGAAAAAAGAGTTGGCTCCGTTTTCCTCCGCTCGCAATTTCCTCGCAAAAGAATTCGGCCGATGTGATTATTCCCCTGACCCCAGGTGCCCGTGATCACTGTAGGGTACAGCCTCACCTCCCGATTGAGGTCAAGATGCGAATTGCGAAACCACTTCGCCATCTTCAGATGTGTAGGGAAAATTCCAGTCTGGGCGGGATGGGATCCCTCATCATATATGAGTGCGACAATGACGCTGAGTACGTAACCATACTCAGTTCTCGCTCCCTGAGTGATAGGATCCGACGATGGGTAAGGCGACAAAATCTGACAGGAAACGAACAGATGACCTTATTTTTATTCTTCCCCTTAGTTTCAGGTTTTTCTATTGCCTTCTTTCGTGCTATCGCCTCGGACTTGAAGAGAAAATCCTTGATATATTTTTACTTTTTTCTTTCTATATCCTTATTTCTTTTTTTGAATGCGGGGACGAGAGCCGTGAGGGGCGAGAGGGGGAACAAAACCTTCCTCTGTTCCTTCCCACTCAAACAACATCAGCTAGACGCTCCAAGGGTGTTGGTTGGAATCTCCGCTAATCAAGGGGGAGAGTCCTCGCATGGTTGCATGACGCGTTTATTATGTGCCTGCTGCCTACCGGCAGTTGGCGTCACGAACGAAACCCCGTTGGTAGGTTAGGTACAGACAGGTACAAACTCCTGAGTACTCCTGAACCAGAATATTCCCTTCTTTGGGTTTCCCTGCGACTCCAAGTACTGGTACTTTGTGTTTGAGAGTAAGTACTTTATAGAGTAGTACCATCGTGTACCCTCATCTTCGTAAATATCTGCCTCTTTTTTCACCCCGTCCGCCGCCCTTGCAATTGGCACCATCTCCTAACTCACTTCCTCTCTCGGGTTCTATTTTACAACTATTTCTCTCCCTGGCTTCATATCAGAACTATTTCTCTTCATGGCTTCATATTACATCACACGAGCACACTCCATATCCAGCAAACCCAAGTCCGAAAAAAAAAATTCGTGCAGGCAAAATTGGCGGTAGTACTCACTTAACTACCCAACCCCGACTGAGACACTCTACCCTACCCTAGAGTCCCCTACCCATTCCACAAACCTGAGTGATCGTCCATGACCCCAACCCAACCCCAAATCTCCCACACCCCCGGAGCTGCACACATCCGACCGTCGCTGTTGCGCGCGCGATCACATGCCGACGCGTTTCCCCTAGTTCCCTTCCCACGCGAGAATGGCGCAAACCCTTGTGCACGTGGGCGGTCAGGGAGTTACCGTACCAGGGGATTAGATTGAAGGGAGGAGTAAGGAGAAGTTACGCCTGAGTTATGATGTAGCCGGTCTGGGCGGTGATGTAAAGTATGGGGGCATCTACATGCGAGTGCCCCTGTGGTACACTAGCTAGCAGTAGTACCTACATAGTGGTAGTGTAGTATGGAGCCACCGAGAAGGTGCAAACAAAGGCAGTGCAAGCACTCCCAGTTATGATCACATCACGACTCGGCGTGAGGAGTTTAAGAACAAATAGCTGGAGGGATACATACTTGAAAGACATGCAAATGCAATCAATGGTAGGTATTGTATAGTACAGTATATATTAAATCACCCTTATCCTTCTCTACTACATATTCAAAAAATGATCACACAAACATCAACAGCAACCATATCCGTTTCCATTCGTAGTGCAGAAAACGTATCCTACATCATTGACCCTCTTTCCCGTCCCATTCAATCCTTCCACCCCCCACAGAGATCAACAGCTACATTTTTTTAAACTTTATGATAATCCCCCCGCCTCTTCCTCTCCTCCTTCCCCCCCTCCCTCTTCCCGACTCCGATATGCCAATGCTTTTATAAAACACTCCCGGGTGAGGCGAGCATTCAACCATCTCCTCTCACTCATCCTCCTCACACCTCTCTCTCTCTCTCCGCCTCCTCGCCGGTGGCACGAATGCCGCCGAAGAAAAGAAAAATAAATATAGAGGTTGTTGAACCCCCCGAAACTAGTATGAATAGGAGCGGAGGAGGGGGTGACGGGGAGATGAGGAGGCGCGGGAGAATGAGTGAAAGCTCGAGAGTAAAAAATATAAAAAAAATGAGAAAAATGAAACAGAGACGAAGACGAGAGAACTAAAGTTTACTGCAATTATAGATAAAAAAAAAAGGCAACAGAACAACCCAACAACGAACAAGCAGCAAGAAAATGGCAGCAAGAGAGAGAAGTAAAAAAACTAGCGAGGAAAAAAGAGTTTATATTATATCTTTTCCCACTTTGTTCTTTTAAGATTTCCCCCTTTCTGCCCGGACAACGAACGAACCGAAACTCTAGTCGTCGTCCTCCTCCTCTTCATCCTCGGGAGCCGCAGACTGTTCCTCCTTATCGTGTCAGCTATGATGGCCTCGCGACTTTCAGAGCAAGAAATGAAAAACATGAAAAAACAAAGAGAACAAGGCAATATTGCTAGACGACAGGGCTGGCATTTCTTCTTCTTGGTCTTGTGCTAGTGATAGTGGGTTTGTCGTCCATTTTGACGGGCGCGGGTGGACTTACAAGGTAGGCCGCCTTCTGCTTTTCGTAGCGCTCCTTATCGATGAGGGCCTTGTCCTCGTATGGTTTCCGTTGCAGAGGGGTCAGGGCCTTCCAGCGCTCACCAAGCACTTTGCCGACTTGACCTGTGAAAAAGTCAGGATGGGTTTCAATGGATAAGGGGGTCAATTGATGGAAGTTACTTACCGAAGGCAATGCCGGGGTTCTCGGAGCGGACATTCTCACGCTGTTCGTTGGCGAAGAACATGTAGGCGGAGAGACCACGCTTAGGGGCATTGGGGTCTGGAGGACAAGAAAAGGATGTTAGCAATGAACCGATCGATTGGATGGTTTTCTGCGTTCTTCCGTTTCATCACCGCCATCTCTCATCTCATCGATTGTGGGATGGATTATCATCATCCATCATCCTATGATGAGAAGCAGCGGCAATGGCATGAAAAACGAACACAGAAGTGGATGGAGAGATAACAACATACCCTTCTTCTTCTTGGCTCCCTTGACGGGCTTATTACGGGCTTTCTCTGTGCGTGGCATCTCTGTGGTTTATTTGGTGATGAGGATGGTGTTGGTGATGATGGAGGTTGTATGGGGAGACGCGAATGTTTTAGTAGCGCGTCTGTGGATGGGAGGAAGAGAGAGGGAGGGTGTTAGTCAAGAACGCCCAGGAAAAAAGCGAACGGGATGACGAGTGCTAGCGACAAAAAAACAAGAAAGCGGATGAGAAGGACGGAATGAAAAGGCTGTTGTTGGCGGAACAAGAAAGAATGGTGCGGATCGTCATTGGGAAAAAGGAATTGAGATTTCTAGAATATCGGCAGATACAAATTTGTTTTACCCTCAAATAATGATACTATCATAAGGGGAGGAAAGATGGGGAGAAAAAAGCAAGAAAGCGTCGATAATACAATTACAGCCAAAAAGGCGAGAGCGCGAGACGAGGCGACTTGACAGAAACCGTCGTCGTCGCTTAACTCGCCTCGTGTATGCGAGGCTCGGGGGTATGAAGAATAATAGGCAGGAGGAACGGTGATGGAGAACAGACAACAAAATGGAAGAGAGGAGTCAACAAACCTTTCAAACGAGATGAGAATCACAACACAGAATAAACCTGCAAAGAACTGTCGATTCTGATAATTACGAAAATTCGATGTCAGTCGTTATGTATGGTTGTGGAGTGGGATGGGGTGGGACACTATCCCTATCTTATCGCCTTGTAGCAACAAGAGAGAAATGGTAGAGGGCAATTTTGTAGGGGGAAATTTTTTGGTGAAGGGGGAAAATTTGGGAGGGAGGAGACTTACTCACAACAGTGGGATGTATGGGACAGTGAGGGAAAGATGAGAGTGAGAGAACACAGTACAGGTTGGGTGGGAAGAAAAAACAGTGGGAGTGGGAGACCTTATGCTGTGGGCAGACCTCAGATCACCCCGTCTCATTCGGGGGGAAGGCACACACAGCAGTTAGTTAGCAAGGCCCACCCAAATTTGCCTATGGGTTAATTAGCACGCATAGCAGCAACCACCGCAGGCCCAGCCACCCAATTAGAGCACAGTATGCCGCATTCTCCCCTAACCCCACCAGGGCACCACCACCGCCTACCGTCCAGCAAGCAACCATGACGGGCGTTGAGCTGCGCGCGGTGGTGGGTAGGTGTGCGTACTGGTATGTAATTTCATGTAGGGGAGGGAGATGTGTATGGGCTGTTTGTAGCTGGGATACGCAGGCAGCGGAATTATGTACAGGTAAGCATATTGCAAGCAAATTCTCGAGCAGCAAACTCGTAAAAAATGTATCAAACGACTCGAGTTTGCCTGGCCACAGTGTTTGCCGTGCTCGCCATGGGAAGGTCGCGTTGGTCTGTGCTTAAGCTCGGCGCTCGAATTATCGGGCACCAGTTGGATGGCTGTTAGTCAGCAAACAGACGGCTTGGCGGCTTCCGAAGACGTTCTAGCTCGGAAGTATGCATGAATGGATGTTTGTATGGGCTGTCTGCTACGACGAACCACTCTACCGTATCTACCCACATAGAGCAGAGACAATCTATTATGATACATCTCGAGGATAAGATTTGATAGGAAACACAGCAAAGCCTGCAGGCGGAAGGAAATCTCTTTCTCACTCTCACTTTTTCTCTTTTTTTTTCGCTCAGGTGTCCAGCTGCGGCAATTGCTCTACAAGAGTGCCCACGTCCAAGGATCACTGAAATAGGGTGTATGTAGCATCTTTCCTCAGCAGGTGTATCAGCAGCACCACCACCACCAGCAGCAGCAGCCTTGGCCTGGTTGCTACATCCATCCTCCCTTCAGGCGGCTGCTGGAACCAAAGCTGGCTGGTGCAACATGGGGGTGTAGTACTCTG